CACTTCCTCAATTAATGCTTTCGTGTGAACTTTCTGCAACCTATATCTTTTTTTCATCTTCTCTCTCATATCCTTTTCATTACTAGAGGCCAAGTAGTCTAACCATGCTTTACAGCTTCTTTACAGCTTCTTTCACTTCATCATTCCACCATGCATCTCTTCTTTTACTACTGCCTCTTTTTATTGTTCCACACACTTCTTCCGCTGCACTTACCATTCCATCCCTAAGGTTCTGCCATGTTCTTTCTACACATTCTTTTCTGCCATCGATGGTGTCAAGCTTTTCGGCTACCCTCGCATGATATTTGTCCCTAGTATCCGCTTCCTGAAGCTTCCAGCTTCGGATGCGACAGACCGACTGTGGTTCTGTCACTGTCGTCCGGTAGCGCGAAGACAGCAGCACCCCCACTCCCTGGCAGGCGTTTTCGCTCTCCGGGACTCCGGACCATAGAGCTAACGCCCCGCCAGGGAGCTCTTCAGTACCACTGCCCTTCCGTTTGGTCTCCGACATACACACGACATCTAATTCTCTTTCTTTCATTATTTCGATCAACTCATTCGTCTTATCTCTCATGCCTCCTCTAACATTCCACGTGCCAACTCTGCACTCTGTCCTCCACCTTCCGCCGTGTCGGGCTGTGCGTGACGGGTGGCGGTCCCCATCGCCGCATTGCGCGCTGCATTCCACACCAACGGGGACGAGCTGGTGTGCGTCGCCTTGGGGGGACGCCCTAACCCTCGTTGGCATGGGTGCGCAGCTGAGTAGAATTGCAGCCCTGAAAAGGGCTGGCAGGGGTCGCGACGAGCACGCTTCTACAATGACCCCCATACCGTCGGAGTGTACATATACATTAGGGTAAAGTATTTTTCACTAAGTGACTTAAACATCCTTAAATTTTTAAATTCGTATATTATTAGTAAACATACGTTTAAATTCGTATATTATTAGTAAACATACATCGTGATTATTATTTTGAATATACGATGCATTAATTATAGCCTTAAAATTAACATTATCACTCCAATTGTTTATTTTATAATATTAGTGAAAGAATTTGAGTTTAAATTGCACTATGGAACGTATTTAAGTAAATCCCCAATACTTTTTTTTTATAGGATAAGGGTGACAAACGAGCACACAGTCCACCTGATGGTAAGTGGTTGCTGTGGCCCATAGACATCTACATCTATCCTCTGTTACAAATCAAAATGTAGATGCGTTGTCACCCGTGAGGACTAAGATGGAATGCCTCATTTCCAGGAAAAAGGGCCTCCGGCCACCTGCACTCACCAAGCGAAACGCAGAGGTAAACCTCTAGTTCACGCTGGTTTTCTGTGAGGTCGTGATACTACCCCGGTTCGAGCTGGCCCATCCGTGCGACAGCAAAAGCTGCCGCGTGGCTCTACCACTGTTAAATACTTAGTTATGGGCACTTACTTATAGTGGTTGCTTTACATATTTATTGCACACAATTTAAATGTTTGGTCTTAATTACTAATATAATTAAAAGGCGATAGCACAAAAGACTTAAGCGATGATCTTGACCAATTTTCAATATCAAACTCATCACTACTTTATGATCTGGATAATTTGTCTAGGTTAATATCTAATCAAAATTGTAACTTAAAAATAATGCATCAAATCATTAGAAGCATAACTCGCAATATGGATGAACTTAAAGTTCTAATACATAGGACAGCTTTAGAATGGGAGTTAATTCTTCTTACAGAATGTTGGTTGCCGTCCACCCACTATATTCCGATAATGGATGGCTATAACTATTGTAAAATTCTTAATAATGCAACCCAAAATGAGGGTTTAGTAGTGTATTTCAAAAAATCTTTGAATATAACCTGGCAGGAGTTGTCAATATCAGATTGTAATTCTATTTTTCTAAAAATATATAAGGACAGTATAGTCATTGTAATTTATAGACCACCTGGATTTAAGGATCCCACAAATTTTATTGAATCGCTTAGTAATATGGTCGATCAATATTCACATTAAAAAAACATAATTATTATTGGCGATATTAATATAGATATTGTTATACATAGTAAAGACTCGTACGCTTTATATTACTTAAATAGTCTAGCATCTAATGGTATGTTAACTGCCCACACCTTCCCTACCCATGTCAAAACGTGTCTAGATCACGTTATATTTAAAACAAAGCTACAGTCAACCTGCTACGTTGCGCAGACTTCCATTACTGATCCTGACACTCTTATATTTTTATTTGAGGCTACTTTAAGTACATGTAGTTTACCACCAAAAATTAGAGCACGTATAAATTATGATAAATTAGATAGTTACCTTAGCACTTTAGACTTTAAAAGTATATATTCTATGGTGGACGTTGACTTAGCAGCTATATTCCTGTTAGAATCATTGAGTAATGCTTTAAAAATTAATACAAAAACAACTAGTTTCTAATCGCAAAACTATTAAAAAGCCCTGGATTACCCCAGGTATTTTGAGATGCTTAAAAAATCGTGACAAATTACACCAAAAATGTAAAAAATATACGGATGATGACGTAATCATAACTACATACAAACGTTACCGTAATTACTGTAATGAACTACTTAAAAAATTGAAAAAGGAATATGAAAAATCAGAATTAAAAGCATCAGTTAAAATAAGTAATAAAAACTTTGGGACACAATTAAAATAGTTACAAATACGAATAAACAAAATAATAATGCCGATAAATTATTAAACAAATCTGACCCCAAAACTTCAGTTAATTATGTTAATTAATTTTTTGTAAATATGGGTAAATCTTTGGCAGAAAAACACCACATTAATAACAACACTTCTAGCATTTTTCCTATAAACACATATCAGCATTCCATAGTAATTCTTGACACGGACGAACATGAAATAGAGACAATTATTTTAAATATGAAAACTGATTGTAGCGGAGGTAGAGATAATATTTCCACTTTCCTTCTAAAAAGGTACAGAAATTTACTAGTCCGTCCCATTACATATATATGTAACCTTTCCCTTAAAACTGGTAGATTCCCCAACTGTTTTAAACTAGCTGAAATTCACCCTATTTACAAGAGCGGTGATGCGGGCTGTGTCAATAACTATAAACCCATTTCCATTCTTCCCACTGTGTCAAAAATACTAGAAAAAGTAATCAACAAGCGCTTGACTAATTACTTAAGGAAACATAATCTGTTATCACATTGCCAATATGAATTTCGACCAAAACGTTCTACACAGGATGCAGTTCATGAACTAATTGATTTCATTGTTACAAACCTTGACAGTAAAAAGAAAGTAGTTGTTATATTCCTTGATCTAGCTAAAGCATTTGACACCGTGTCCGTTCCACTTTTGTTGAATAGGCTAGAAGATCTTGGAATAAGAAATACACAAACTGTTCTTTGACTATTTAACGGGTCGATATCAGAGGGTAAGGATTGGTGGTTGCTGCAGTGATGATCTTCCCGTATCATATGGTGTACCACGGGGTAGTGTACTTGGTCCAACGCTATTTCTTACATCTATCAATTCCCATTGTAATGTAAAAATTCACAATGTGGATCATTGCTTTTGCGGATGACATGGCTCTTCTTTTCCAGGCAGATACATGGTCTGAGGTATGTAACCTCTGTCTGCAACCGTATTATTTACCTAAGTAATAATGTGAAATTTTATACCTTTGTGAAGAGGAAATAAAAATGATTTATTATTATTATATTAAAAGCGCTTTCTAGGTTAGCAGTCCAGTTAATGTTGCTCTTGCTCTTCGCCGCTGGACCACTAAGTAGTGCATGGAGAGGAGCCTGAAGCTTGGCAGCATCCTATATAAAGCGTCTATAAATGTTTAATGCTCCTAAAAACCGCCTAAGATCCCTGATAGTTTTAGGTAGTTTAAAGTCAATAATAGCCTTCACCTTGTCAACAACCGATTTAGTGCCTTCCGAAGAAACCAGGTAGCCCAGAAACTCCACTTGCGGCACGGCGAATACACACTTATTTGTATTTAATAAAATACTGTATTCGCTGAAAAGCGAAACTACTGCACGTAGATGTTCCTGGTGCTTCATCTCATTAGCGGAAGCAACTAATACTTCATCGATGTACGCAAAGCAGAACTCGAGATCCCTGAGGACCTCGTCCATGAAGCGCTAGAAGGTTTGCGCGGCATCCCTCAGGCCAAGTTCATTAGTGGGAACTCAAAGAGTCCGAAGGGTGTCGTAATAGCTGTTTTCTCTACATCCTCTATCGCAACCGGTATCTGATGGTACGCTCGTACTAAGTCTAATCTACTAAAATTTTACGATTAAAGAGATTGTGCGAAAAGTCTGCAATGTGGCGTACTGGGTATCGATCTGGTGTCGTGCGAGCATTTAGTGCACGTGTTCCCCACAGGGTCGCCAACCTTCGCCTTTTTTAGGCACTAAATGGAGGGGTGACGACCATGAGCTCTCCGACCTACGCGCTATACCCGTACGAACCATTTCTTTAAACTCCTGCTTCGCGATTTTTAAGCGATCAGGTGCTAGTCGCCTTGGTCGCCAACACACAGGTGGGCCTGGGATCGTTCTGATATAATGCTGCGTATGGTGCTTCATTTTCGGCTCCAAAGGAGCTCCGACCAGCGTCATTATAACAGGATATTCTTGGAGTATCCGATAGAACGATGAATCACCTGAAATGACCTTTATGTGCGGGCACGGGCAAGCAAATGCAATCGAGGCGACTGATGTAAGCGAAGTGCAATTATCAATTAATCGCGAATTACGCACGTCCACGAGTAAGTTATAGAAGGATAGAAAGTCTACACCTATTATCGGCTTGCTCAGATTAGCTATTACAAAGCGCCAAGAAAATGCGCGCCTTAAGCCTAAATAATAATAATAATAATAATAAGTCTAACCCCACGTCCGAGCTGAACACCTACGCTTACGTGAGTGGCGGACACCCACAACGAAGATACTTTGCGGGTGACCAACGGGGCTCTAGTGCACCCATCAATATGGAGTTAAGAAATAGAAGTATTCGTAAAGGACCGCTTCCCGAGGGTGAACGTCGGGGCACGCCTGGAGCCGGTGCTGGGCGTTTCAGCATGCGAACCACCGGTGGCGAGGGTTTACCTGGACGGCCCTCTGCCGGGTCTCCTGAACAATGCGAGTCCAGCGCATCATCAGTACTAACATCGTCTGATGAATACAAGTGCGATAGTAGAGCAGTCTCTCCGGCCTCGGATGTTTCACGGGCGGCAAGGGCCACTCAACCTGTGACCACCAAAGCTGGTAAACCTAGAGTACGCATGAAATGGGATGAAGAAATAAATACTTTCATTATGCGTACTTACTTTTACATTACCAAATTAGAAACCGATCGCACTATGTACGTTAAGAAATTATTTGACCAATTTAAATTAAAATATCCTCATTTAAATATCACATCTCAACGTATTGCAGACCAGAGACGAGTAATAATAAGAAATAAATTATTATCTGATGAACAAATTAAAAGTATAAAACAACAAGTAGCTATAATAATTGAAAACGAGGAAGCTGGGAATAATATTTCGGGCTCACATTCAGATACAAGAGACACCGATCATTTGACAGCGGGTAATTCAAATCACATTTTTAACCTTCGTCAGACATCTCCACCCCCTTCTTTATTCGAAACTCAATCAACTACCTTAACATTCAATTCTGCAACACAAACTGTAGCAAGGAGCTGCACGGCTCAAACTAGTATTTTTAGCGTTTCACATTCCGCTGAAATAAATCTCCCAGATGATGGTACCGTACAGAAGTTAACCGACGAACTGCAAACTAATCTTGCTTTGTATACTGGTACTGACCCTAGCATAAGACCAAAAGTACCGCGATTAAAAGAAAATAAGAGGCTATATAGTTTACTAAACATTTTCAATAGTCATATATTACCGAAATTCTATAGTATTGATTCAGAGTTACTACATATTCATACCCTCATATATTGCTCAGCTTTAGTTATCTCAAAACGATTAGGATACAAAATTTCAAACAGCCCCTTAAAAAAACGAAATTCATTTAACAATAAACCGGCTTGGCAAATCAGATTAGAAATAGATATATCTATCTTGCGTGCTGATGTGGCCAGATTAACACAATTCATCAACAATAATAGACATCCTAGATTAGTAAAGAAAATTGATTTAATATTTGATAAATATAAGGTTCATTCAACTCATGATAAAAATAATATTAGACAAAATGAATTTTTAGATACTCTAAAACAAAAACTTGCACTTAAAACCCAAAGACTAGCTAGATACAAAAAATCCCTACAAAGAAAAGAAGACAATAGACTATTTCAGACTAATGAAAAAGTATTTTATAGATCACTCAAACATAATGCAAGTAATGTATCCAATGAGCCCAAGGAAGTTCCAACTGAAGAAGAACTCAAAAACTACTGGACTGACATATGGAAGAAAAATAAAGAACATAATGAGCAGGCAAGTTGGGTCAAAGAAGAAAAGAACAAAGCAGAAACCATTGAATCGATGAAATTCACAGAAGTTACAAAATTAGAGGTAGAACATATTACCAAAAGAATGAAAAACTGGAAAGCTGCTGGAAACGATAATATTCACAACTTTTGGTATAAAAAGTTTTCGGCACTCCACGATATTTTAGCGAAAATTATTACAGATATATTAAAAGGCGCGTCAGAGATCCCATCATTTGTAACCGTAGGTATTACTTACATGATTCCCAAAAGTGATAATACAGCAGATCCCTCACAGTACCGACCAATTACGTGTCTCCCAACTATATACAAACTAATCACCTCTTGTATAACACTAAAAATTAATACGCATTTAACACATAACAAAGTTTTAGCGGAGGAACAAAAAGGATGCAGACAGAATCACAGAGGATGCAAAGAACAACTCATTATCGATTCAACAGTGATAAAACACGCTACTACTCACAACCGTAATCTTAGTCTAACATATATTGACTATAAAAAAGCATTCGACAGTGTACCACACTCTTGGCTAATACGAGTTTTGCAAATTTATAAAATCAACCCGGATATTATTTCTTACCTGAAAGGAGTTATGAGCAAATGGAAAACTAAACTACACCTTAATGACGGCACTAAAACTATAGTCACAGAAGATATACCAATCGCTAATGGCATTTTTCAGGGAGATTCATTGAGCCCACTGTGGTTCTGTCTGACTCTTAACCCTTTATCTTCTTTGCTCAACAAAAACAATCATGGGTATAAATTAACTAAAGACACCTATGTCAATCATTTAATGTATATGGATGATATAAAGCTTTTTGCCAAATCAGAAAAAGAAATGAATACCCTCATAAAAATTACAGCTGAGTACAGTAAAGATATAAACATGACCTTCGGTTTAGATAAATGCAAAACACTTAAACTTCATAAAGGTAGAGTCGACAGTAATACAGAAAGTCAATACGATATGTTTACATTGATGGACGAAAATGATACATATAAATATCTAGGTTTACGTGAAGGAAGATGTATGCAGCATACTGCTATTAAAAAGGACCTCAGTAATGAATATTTCCGCAGGTTGAATCTAATTTGTAAAAAGCAACTTAATTCTAGAAATTTATTCAAAGCTATTAACACTTTTGCCATCCCAATACTTACCTATTCTTTCGGAGTTATTAAATGGTCATCCACAGATATACGAAATCTGGAAATCAAAACTAGGACTACAATGACTAAACACAAATATTTGCATCCTAAATCGGCAATTGAACGACTTACGATAAAGAGAGCCATAGGGGGTAGGAGTCTGATCGATCTTAAAAGGCTATGGGAAGGGCAAATCAAAAACTTGCAATCTTTCTATTATGAAAAATCAGCTAACAGCCCGTTACATAAAGCAGTTATTGAATCCGATATCAATTATACCCCTCTTAATTTAAGTAATCAAGACAAAAGATCTACTACAGTAATTGACCATGAAAAAGAAAAGTTATCAAAGTGGCGTAGTAAAGAATTACATGGTAGACATGCACACGATTTAGAACAACCCCACGTCGACTTACTGGCTTCAAATAAATGGTTAAAACTAGGTTCTCTTTTTCCTGAAACTGAAGGTTTTCTTATTGCTATTCAGGATCAACTAATCAATACAAGAAACTATAAAAAATATATATTAAAAGACCCAAACATGCAGAACGATAGCTGTAGAAAATGTCACCGCCTACCCGAAACTATACAACATATCACCAGTGCTTGTCCTAGCCTAGCACAAACTGATTACACCCACCGGCATAACCAGGTTGCTAATTACGTTCATCAAAAGCTTGCAAATAAATACAATTTAATCCCGAACCAACTACTATTGCCATACTATCAATATACCCCTAAACCTGTTCTGGAGAGCGACAGTCACAGAATGTACTTTGATAGAGCTATTCTTACCGATAAAACGATTCATTACAATAGACCGGATATAACTTTAATTGACAAATTAAATAAAATAGTATACCTAATTGATATAGCAATCCCAAATACCCATAATCTACAAAAAACCATTACTGAAAAAATTCTTAAATACACAGAACTAAAAGAAGAAGTAACTAGAATCTGGAAAATGAACAAAGTATACATTGTGCCGCTGGTGCTCTCCAGTACTGGTGTGATCCCGAAATGTTTGCCCCACTCCCTTAAACTATTAGATCTTCCTGAAAATAGCTATATTACCATGCAAAAAGCAGCCATCCTCAACACTTGTCGTATAGTCCGAAAATTTTTGCAAGAAGACATCTCAAATTTTGATTCCCAAAGGGACGCGCACTTGGCTTAGGCCCGTGAGCATTTCTTAAAAACCAAGATCTTAGAAAATCTTGAGAAAAAAAGGAGTAGAAAAGATAATAATAATAAAAAACTATATAGATGCCCCAATAATAATAATAATAATAATAAGCATTTATTCATTAGCACCAATAAAGTACATACAGAAATAACAAGAATTACATAATGTAGTAATGAATGGACTCTAGCTCAGCATAAATGTTGCAGTTGCCTACAACGCTGTTATTCTGCCAGCGCCCAAAATATGAACAGTACAGTACGCGCGCATCCCTTTAATCACAACTATTCACATTAGGGTACATACCGTGGATCCCCGACTATTAGCCAGTTCAAATTAATAATCAAATATATATATTTTTATTACCATTTTTTTTTAAATAAATAATTATTACAACAATATAACTAGTAATAAGTAACATAAATTATAAAATAATATTGATATTAACAAGCCTAACTTCTTTAATCTCATATAAGTTGTTTCCCCACCTACTACATAGCAATGTTTATTATTTGTTTTAAGTATTTACAGGGCGGTCCTGCAATTAGGTAAAAATAAGCCGCTTATGACAGTATTTGTTCTCTTAGTAAGTGACGTCTATATCTATCTTTTTAAAACTCGATTTACTTGTCGTAGTGCGTAGTGGTGGTGGGAGATCATTCCAACACTTAGTTGCCATAAACTTAAAACTCCCTCGGAAAGCCGATGTTTTGTGTTTAGGGATGCAAAAAACTTTTGAGCATATTCGGGTTTTATATACATGCTGGTCATTTCTCCAATTAATTTTTTTGTATAAATATTCTGGATTCTTTGTATTTATTATGCCGAATAGCAAAGAAGCATAAAAAAGTTTGAGACGCCCCTGCATTTTTAACATATTCGAGGTATTAAGATATGATGTAACATGAGTTCATCTCGGTATGTAAAAACAATAGCGAGCACAAGCATTCTGTACCCTCTGGATTAATTTTTGTGATTTTTTAAGCAAACAAGGTCCATAAACAGTTATACAATCATTCAATTTAGCTAAAACTAGGGTTTCACAAAGCTTTACACGTAAATTAACTGTGATAAATGGTCTAAATCTATATAAAACTTTTAACCTGTAAAAGCAGTTTTGTACCAAATTAATCACATGATTTTCAAACCTCAAATTGCTATCAAAAAGAATGCCTAAATTTCGTGCTTCATGAACTTGTGCAATTGTCTCTCCATTAACACGTATATCAGGTTCAGTTATAGCTATATCATGTACCTGCTTTTTAGTGCCAATTATAAGGAATTTTGACTTGGAAGGATTGAGAACCATGGAGTTATTTTGTGACCAATCGCAAACACGTTGAATATCCTGATTTAACTTATTTACTAATGTGTTAATATTTTTTCGATCTATGGGAATATATACCTGTAAATCATCAACGTATAGATGGTATTTACAGTTTTTGAGACAGTTTATTATATCAGCACTGTAAATAATAAAAAGCAAAGGCCCTAACACAGATCCTTGAGGAACGCCTCTATCAACAGGAAGAAGCTTAGAAATAAAGTTTTTACCATTATGCCTGTCTAAAATTACTTGTTGATATCGGTCAAATAAATAACTTTTAAACCACTTGAGTGTTTCATTATCAAAACCATAATATGAAAGCTTAGAAATCAGTAAGTTTGTGTTAATTGAGTCAAAGGCCCTTGAAAAATCTAATAAAGTGAGAATAGTACCTTCTCCAGAATCCGAAAAAGATAATATATCATCCACGACATTAATAAGAGCTGTTGCTGTTCCGTAATTTTTTCTAAAACCTGATTGTAGGTTGGGTATTAATTGATTTTTTTCACAGAAATTTATTACTTGTGAGTAAACAACTTTCTCAAGTATTTTTGATAAGTAAGGCAGTATACTAATGGGTCTTAGGTCACCTACATTTGTTGGGTTACTTTTTTTAGGTATTGGACGAATAAGTGCAGTTTTCCAAGAAGAAGGAAAAACAGATTCTGTTATGGATTTATTAATAATTGCAGTGATAACATTTAAAGTTCTCGGAAGCGTTAGAATTATCATATCCATATTAATGCGGTCAACACCTTGAGCATTTGACTTAATACCCATTATGATTTTTGCAACCACATTTTCATGAACTGGTATTAACCTAAAAGTATTAGAGATACAGTTTCTGCTTTCCAGATTCCTTACCTTAAATGATTTGACGATATTATTTGTTCCCGGTATACTCAAAAAGTGACGATTAATTTCGTCAGGATCACTAAAGTGTTCTGGTAAGTCATTCGAATTTTTAAATGACGGTAACGCGAATGACTTCAAATTTTTCCATAGAACATTTGTATTATGTAGATGTTGATTAATGTGGTAATCAAAATATGCCTTCTTCTCAGCATAAAGACTGCTGTTTACTAGACTTTTTAGGGTTTTGTATTGAATTTTATCTTTTTCAGTTTTTGTGCGACGATATTTATTGTGAGCGTCATCTCGGAGCTGCATAATGTAAGTACATTACTCGTAAACCATGGCAGTTGTTTCTTACGGATAGTTATTAGTTTCTCTGGAGCATGTTTATCAAACAGCTCTAAAATGCGTTTGGAAAAAACAGAAACCATATCGTTCACATAATTATACCTCGTAATGCTATCCCAGTTTATGGATTCAACTTCCGACTCAAAATCTGACAGATTGATATTTTTTATATGTCTTATAATTTGCTGCCTTATAGCCACCTTAGGCTTTTTAATTTTAAAATCGACTAAAATGATAGCATGACCACCAAGTTCAGGAGTATATTTTACACGAGTATTTGTCACACTAGCGTCCGTCATTACTAAATTAATTAATGTAGCACTCTCTTGCGTAAAATGGGTAGGTTGAAAAATACAGTTTTTCAACCTAGTATACTGCAAAAATTGATTAAGCTGTTGTGTTTTGTTGTCACTTTCATCCAAAATATTTATATTGAAATGTCCTAACAAAATTATATTATCTAAATTTGAATATGAAGTTAAAATGTCTGTAAGAGAATCAAAGAACTTTTCGACATTTACCCATTGTGGTCGATATGCCGTTCCAATTAAAAGCTTAACTTTGTTAATGGATAGCGACAGCCACTGCTGCTCCACCTCCTCAAATATAATGTTATGGGAATAAAAACGAGCATTAATCCCTCGTTTGACGTAAAAACCAACACCACCACCACGTGCCCTAGATAGGTTACAAGAACGGGGAATATGACTGAAGCGATAGCCAGGAACTAACGGAGCACTCGCATCTTCACCAGCTCGTAGCCACGTTTCGTTTATCGCCATAATATCAGCAGATTCACATAGCAGAGCTGCCTGAAACTCATCGCTTTTGCTTCTGATCGACCCAGCATTATAAAGGCCTACTCTTAAACTTTTACTTTTAGTAGTAGCCATGTTGTAATAATATTTTTGTAAGTATAATCATTTCATATATATAATCGTCTATATGTTGAACACAGATAAGTAAGGAATATTTATAGGAACATATTATATTATAACTTGAACAGGCTAGCATCGGTATGCATATTAAAAATAAAGTCATTTTCAAAATATCAACAAAAAAAGCAAAGAAATTTACAAAATATTCGTATAAAATAGTAATAAAAAAAGGTAAAAATAACTATTTAAAAAATATTCAAAATAATAACAACAAATTTTTATACTTGTACCAGCTAACAAAACAAAGTAAGTAGAACTAATTAAGTAAGCTAAAATTACGGTAAACAATTCCATAGAATTTACCAAAATCATAAAAATGTTTACGCAATAATATAGATACTGCAGGACAGAACCTTTGTTAGCACTTAAAGTTAAATTATGTACCACTACAAATACACTACCGCTACTGTAAACTACTGCCAAATAAAGATATAATAAAAAGTGGTATAAAACATAGTAATTAAAAAGTATGGAATAACATTTAAGGTATATGAAAGTGTAAGGTATAATCAAAAGTATAATATTATCAAACAAAATGAACAAAATTAAAATAGTAAGGAGCCCCAAAATACATTTAACATTATTTAGAAGTTTTTGAACAGGGTACACCAAAAACACGTTCAATATCCATTTCAGAGTTTACTATGCGCGCATAAATATTAGGAGAATCTTCACGCTTAACATAAACACGACCCCCCTTTGTCCATACAAATTTCCAATTTAAATTTCGAGCCATTTCACGTGTTTTAGCAAATAAAATACGGTTTGTTTTGGTTAATCGTTCATTAACATAAAACGTACTTGATTCGTGAGGTAACAATCCTAGGTCTACCGTAGTAAGCGTACGGCGCACTCGAGCATTCTTTATTAAGTGATCGCGCAATGCACGACGCGTTAATCTTACAACCAAGGGGCGCGCACTAACAGAAACTGATGAGCTGTTTTGGTTACCTGTTCGCATATCTTTAGCCGGCCAATTTAAACGGCGACCGACGCGTTCAGCGTAAACTATATCTTGTTCCGTTAGAGATACTCCTAGTTTAGAGGCAACGGTCAACACAATATGCATTGGTGTTTCACCTGAAAATTCTGGTATTCCGACTATTTCGACATCATTTAGCAGGGCTTCCTGGTCTTTGTAGGTTATTTGCTGCTGTAACTCTGCAACAATACTCTCCAAGTGTGTATTTGATTGAGCAGTTTGACGAGACGATTCAATTTCTTTGCGAATACATATGTTTTCATTCTCGAGTGCCTGGACTTTTTCACTAAGGGTACTGACCTCTTGCTTTAAGCTACATACTTCTTGTGTTATGGATTCAGTAATTTGTTTCAAATCACTTTCTAAATTCTTTAAAACGTCACGAAACTCTTGCTTGATTTCTGTGGCTAGACAAACATGTGCACTTTTGAGTTTCGAATCTAGTTTATGATCCAGCAATTTACCAATTTCTTCTAGGGAAAATGAAAAAGTATTCACCTTTGGCACTCCAGGAAGCTCCATGTTCGGGGACAACTGTTCGTTACTATCCTCTGTCTGCGAAATATTATCACCACCGGACGTGTCGACTAAATCTGGGGGAGAAGATTCTTCACAATTTATTTTTAATGGTGTGTCATCATTTCTGTGTCGTCTTTTAGTGACATTTGTACAAGTAGGGCACTTCCATGTTCTCTTGAGTTGTTGGAAATTGCCCATAAATTTTGCCGTTGTAATATTCAAACATCTGTAATGATAAGTTCCTTTACACGTGACACATCCTAATAATTCTTCCCGCTCAATAGAATTCGGACATGCTAAGCATTTCATATTTAGATCTTATCAAGAGATCTCAACAAATAAACAAACTAACTTTATGCAAGTCACACAAGTGGGTATAAAGTAAAAGCATACGTTTCATTCACAACGCGCCCGTGGTTTTGGTATCAAAGTCCACTGTTTTGCAAAATAAATTACTTGTCTCACTTTGTAATGTTTGTCTTTAAAAATCACTTTATTTCAATATAATGTCCACAGTTTCACTTTTACAATTTCACATGCATAAAATTTAAGTTTAAATATAAACTTTAACAACAATAATTATTTTTTAAACCGGAGCTAACGTTATATGATGTTAACACAGCGATGCGCGCGCGCTGTATTCTGTGTTAAATCTAAACTTAACCAAACATATGTAGCGATTACAGTATTATTTGCAGCGAAAAGCTCATAATTAGTTTTATTGCGTCGCTGCATGCGCACTAAGCTCAATGGGTAAACACACAAGTCAGATCCAGTGTCAATTAAAAACTGCACTTTACTTTTAGCGTCAGTGACAAACAAACGCTTAACGTTCGACTTACACTCATCAGCGGTCGCAGCTATCGACCGCCCAACTAGTTTTTTGGATAATTACAAGGCTTTATACACTTAGCTGCTTTCTCGCCGTTTGAAATGATACCAGCAGTATCGCTGGCCATCAGCACACCAAAGCGTCGGTTTCTCGGACCAAAATGGCGGCATCTTAATGCCTACTCGGCAAAGTACCGCTTCCTTATCACTAGTGCTGCTTTTCGATGCGTCTGCCCTAGCATCTTGCCACATTTTTGATGTACTTTGTACGCTATGTTCTTCTCGAGGTCACCACTTGTGGACTTAGTTGTTAGGCAAATAAAAGCGTCTTCACTCTTTCAAAATGTATATATTCTTCTTTGACAAAGGCAATTTAAAATTACAAACACGTAGCCAGAAAGATAAAAACAAATGAATAAAAAGATACAATTAATTAGAAGTAAGGAGTGCTTGAGATTGCAAGCCGAGAATAAGTTAGTCGCGATTTAAAATAACCGTTATTCCGGCGTCGCGAGCGTGGGGTCTAGTGCTGAGGACATTTAAATGCAGAATGCCAGTAAAAACTAAAAATCGAAGGCGCCCGGACTGTCACGAAAGCAGCTCTAACGGAGCCGAGCATTTCCGACCCCAACTGACACGAACATCGCGTCGGCGCGTACGGCGTACCCATACAAAATCAAATCCCTACACATACAAAAAGATCACAAAATTGCATGTCGCCACACAATAATATTCCGTTGTACCGTTTTTAAATATTGCCTATACTCCCTGTCAGTTTTTTTACGTGCTCCCTATAATTCTTAAACATTTGCCGATTGAATTCTTTACCTTCCTTTTTATACTTCTTAAGATGATAGTGTTTATTTTTAAAGTTATTTATAATTTCAGCAGTATACCATTTAGGATATACATATCGGTGATTAGTGGTAGTGCATAAAGAAACGGGTACAAAGAGATTTATACAATCGTACAATTTCTCGTAGTACAACTGAACAGCACAGTCAATATCAATCTCTTTAAGTAAATCCGACCAATCTAATTTGGATAAAGCCGCATTTAGACCTTGATAATCTGCTTTACGCCAGTTCCAGCTGTTGCTTTGAGTATTGGAAAGAGACAACGTAGGCGAAGCAGGAGAGGAAATCAATGTTGGACAAGCGAATGGAAGCTTAATTATAGTTTCAAGCGCGGGATAATACTCATCAATTTCTACCAGAGGGTCTAAATTTAGAGAAACGCTTAACTGACCGGGCTCTAAATTGCTCAGCACGAGATCCAACATACCGTCTCGTCTATTTAAAACTGTATTAAATTGGTAGAGCGAACAAAAATTACAAAAAAAAATCAAATTGGGTCCTTACATTAACGCTACAAGAATTCAAATTGAAATCACCTAAAATTAATACTTTCATGTTAGTGTAGGTAAAAATAACATCTTCCATACAGGCCAAAACATTTAAATATTGCTCATCATTATAGTTCGGAGGTAAGTATACAAGGCAACATAATATATTGATATTTTTAAAATTAATAATTACAAATATTAATTTTGTGTCTTTAGTCATAAGATCAATCTCAGTAACAACCCGAGCAGGATAACAGTCTCGATCAGCAAGCAGTACAGAAGTATCGTTCGCTCTGTCTTTACGTATTACCCTGTAACCAGGAGGTAAGAGTTCGCTATCAAATACTGAACTAGTTAAAAATGTCTCCGACAATGCTATGATGTCATATTCGCTATGTGTAACATTGTTCATGAATATACTTGTTTTTGATCCTAGACCTCGAACATTCTGATAAAATATCCTTAACTCACGCACTCTAAGACGGCGCTTGTTGGCTGTTGATTTTGGCACGAAAGTTTTGACGCCAAGGCTTAATACATATGCCTTCGGCCCAGTTGCCAGATAACATAACAGTTTCAGCACTTTCAAGAGGAACTCCTAGCTTAAAGGACGCATAGCACCCACGAGACTCCAGTTTGTCAACGGTACACATGTCACCGTAACATATAGTACAGAGGTGATTCTGCACTTGCTCCACAGTGGTATATTCTTAAACATAGTACAGATGCAGGTATTTCCACCTAGCGGCAGCCTGAAGTGGTGTCGATCCAGGCGCTGCGGTACCTCTAAGTACGCCAGGAAGCGAAGCTCACGACCGCCTGCGTCTCACCTCCACCCATCCACCTTTATCGAGGTTATCAGTGTTAGGATTGCTAGCTGCAGGTGTAGATGTGGTGCGGGACTTCTGGATAGTTCTATCAGCATCAGGTACTGAAGCTGCGAGCGAGTTACTTGGTTTTTCAATTTGTACGACAGGCTTGGCTTTCGTCTGGGACTGAGTTTTAGTTTTAGTAACAACTTTTATTGTTGTTGGATTTAAAGGCAAATTCTTTGTTATGGCATCTTTATATGTGTCTGCTTTTGTCATAAGCGTCACTTCTAATTGTTCGATTTTACTCGTCATCATATTGATTTTTTCTAAAAATTCATTTTTTAGCCCTAAAAATTGCTCAGCAAGTAATCTATAAATTTCTTCAATTAGCTGCTCTTCAAAATTGGCTTGCATTTTTCTCAATTCCAGTATGACGGTTTCTTTCATTTCGTTCAGAACATAGTTTGATGTTGGGTTCTGCTTAGGACCTTGCGTAAACAGAGTTCCGCCACGGAGCATATTGACATTTTCGGTAGGACTAGACATACTTTGGTCTAAGATTTGATGCGTGCGTACAGGGGTCTGTGAATTTTCGCCCTTATGTAGTCTACTGCAACATTCAACGCATATCCAGGACCTCTTAAATTCCACCGAAAAAGTAGCAAACTTTTCAGGACTAAAATTTGCACAAAATAAGTCAAAAATTTGCTTACATTGAGTACACTTCATATAAGCGCCGTCTTTAGCCACTACACCGCGACATCCCGCGCAGGAAGCTTTCCTTGGTGTCATCTTTTCGCTGTGGTTGACAGTAGGTACTTAACGCAGCAATACGTAACAAGCGTCGCGACGGTGGTGTCCGGCCGGCAGGTGCGGTGACTCACAGCAGCGGGCGATCTGCGAGTTGGCGTAGGTCAGTTATAAGACCGTTGGACGAAAATTTTTGAAATGTTTTTGATTGTAATTTGAGTAATTCCAGTTACACTAAAATTTCAATTTAACCACTGAAATCATGGATTCAGTAGCTTTAAAATGAATACTAACACAACTTTAAACGCGAATTTTAACCCATTATTATGACTGTTTCTTTACGGAGCAATTTAGCATAGATATTGTCGAGTAGCGTCGTCGACGTATTATTTAAAGTTTTTGTCTATCTGTCTGTCTGTCCGTCCGTCTGTCTGTTTGTTCCGGCTAATCTCCGAAACAGCTGGACCGATTTTGACGGGATTTTCACTGGCAAATAGCTGATGTCACAAGGAGTAATTTAGGCTACTTTTATTTCAGAAAAAGAATTAGGGTTCCGCGCAAAAAATTAAAACCTCAAATAAGACGCGGGCGAAGTCGCGGGGAACAGCTAGTATTATAATATAAATACTCCTTGGTATTCGCCGTTTATTAGTGGCCAAAAGAAGACACTATCCTATAATATTATCTCGTAGGTCTAGTAAGAGGTATAGAGAGGAATAAAAGATGGGCAGCAACATATTCCATATAACCACTTAAAATATTTTTTTATGTAGAATAAGAGTGACAAACATACAGTCCACCTGAAGGTTAGTGGATGTCGTAGCCTTTGGCCACCACAACTATGCTCGATTAAGAGTACAATATGTAGGTGCGTTGTCACCCCTGAGGAATAAAATAGGATGCCTCATTAGCAGGAATATTAAGGACTTTTGAAATATTTAAAATAACAAAATATATTTAATTCAATAATTAATTTTAATACCAAACTACTTCATCTGTTATGTACAAAATGAGGCAATAATTGTTCGTGTAGATGATGCTCGATTATTTATCAATACAATATACATAGCTTGATATAACCTAACAATTTATATAAAAATATATCCTATAGCCGTGTGGTGGCAGTGTAAGACTGTGTTTACCCCCCCCCCCCTCCCCCCTTGGGTGTAGTACGAGGCGACAGAGAGAAAGTAAAACAGGATATGAGCACATATATAAAATGTTATATAAAATATTATAATTCTATCATATATCAACTTACAATTACCTACGCAAGTTATGTATTATGTAACCCGAAGACCACTTAAGTTTTATTATTAGTGCAATCTCAAACGATTTCAGCTATATCTTTTTTTCTTGCTTTCACGCGGATGAAGTATATATATATAATATAAATACACTTATGTAAAAGTTACATCTATCTAGTACATGTTTCACTGCTAGGTACTGAAACTCTCTTGAAAGAGAAGAAAATGAGACGCGCTGTCCCAACGTGTGGCGCGCTTCACATGTCTTCGAGCTTTGTTTTATACCTCAGACATGCAGATTTCCAGACGACGTTTTCTTCACAAACGAGCACGTTTTGTTTTAATAAAATGGAATGGACAAACGAATTTACAATTAAACATAAAGGTAAGGCTACTGCAGCATGTGTCACCTCTAAGGACTGCCTCATTCTGATGGAATGGATTACAGCCTGTGGTTATATCACCTATAAACTTATAAAAGATGATTGAAAAACTAATATAGATACATATTATACATCTACTATCTTTTTTATTATCAATCAAAAATATCGTTCTTTCTCGTTGTATAATTGTCTATACAAGACTTTACCCAGCTTGTGTAATTTAAGAACAATAGCAGGAGTTAAAAACAGTATAAACATTTTTCATATAAGGCCCTGAAGAAAGATAAAATAAACCTCTGAAGTGTTTTACTACTAAGATATAAAAGAGATACAGTGAAAAATGTTGACTTCATTTAGCCTTGAAATTGTGGCGAAAAATGTGGCATAAATGTAGGCCGTAATACATGAATATTTTTAATCATTTCACACTCCGGACTTGTATTCATGACACGCTGATGTGCTCAGCTCAGAGACAAAACTAGAAGTAAATTATGTTTTCATCTAAGCTTTACTTTTTCCACCTTTAAACAAGGTAACAAACAGAAAACATAATTCGTAACGGCATTCTCTGCCAATCAATCCGTGAGATATTATATAGTACTGTTATTTTAAATACACCTGTTTTTACGTGTGTATTAAAATGTATATTTGGTCAGTTTGACAAAGTAAGAGCATTATTAACATAGTACCGAAATACAATAGCGTTTACGCTACCAAAACATCCAACTTCCTATTACTTTTCATTCTGAATACGCTACCGGACTTAATTAAGAACATTATTGTTGCTTCGGGATCATATAAGGGAAACTGAAATCTTATTTTATTGAAAATCAAACAGGATACATTATAGCATAACTGGTTTATTCATATGCCAGTAACTTTATTTCCTTTTGGCGTATTTTTAATTAGGTAACATATTTTAAATATTATATTCTTCATCACTACAGTCAATCACAAGTCTACTGCTGAGCATAGGCCTCCCCTAAGGAATGCCACAAAGCATGGCGCCGAGTCACTTGCATCCATTGACTTCCTACATACATTACTAGTGCCTGCAGTCTCGACATAGATAGCGACACCGTCGCTAACTACCGTCGCTAAATAATAATCGAACGAAATAACGAAAAAATTGTTTGCCGTAACGATGCTTACGATAACTGGAAGTTTCTACAGCCGAGATACCGAACAAAATCGTTACATATCTGTATTCTTTCTATTATTATGTCTTTATCATTACCACTGAACAACAGGTGCAATAAATAACAATGAGTTCATCAGCACCACAAATAACTAAGTTTGAGCTTTGTTATTCATTTAATTACTACTTACATTATATATTTCTGTGCTCTGCTGTTTTATCCACTATTTCCAAGATAAAAAAGTATCTTGTGTTAATCCAGGATATGGTCTATCTCTGTGCCAAATTTCATATGAATCTGTTCTGCCGTTTTAGTGCAATAAAGTAAGAACAAAAATCTTTGCAAATCAGCAAGCTAGAGAGAATTAGCAAACATTTCTCAATCTATCTATATTTTTCATTACAGATGCTGGCAGCTGCAACTCAACTGCAAGTAGAGGCTGCCAAAATGCAGGCGGGGCAGCCAAAGTGCAAGCTGAGGAGTCTGTCTATTTTATTTGGACAGTACAGTAAGAGATGCAGTCATTTTATTTTCAAATAATAATAGTAATTAAATTAAGATTTTTTTTATAGGATAAGGTTGACAAACGAGCAACCAGTTCACCTGATGGTAAGTGGTTGCTGTGGCCCATAGACATCCACATCTATCTTCGATTATGAATCAAAGTGCAGATGTGTTGTCACCCGTGAGGACTAAGATGGAATGCCTCGTTTCCAGTGAAAAGGGTCTCCGGTTCTCTACACTCACCAAACGAAACACAGCAGCGTTAAGCTGCTATTTTACGCTGGTATTCTGTGAGAGCGTGGTCCTTCCCCGGTCGAGCCGACCCATTCGTGCTACAACCATAATATAGCTGCAGCATGGCTCTACCACGTTTATATAACTTAAAAAAAAAGATGTTTAATGTTTTGTTTTTCATTCATACATTATTACTATAGATAATTAAGTAAGAATAGTATTTATGAGTCATATCTGTATACGCTCTGCAACAGATCACCCAGTGCACAGTGCACTCGTACTGTGATAAAAACATAAAATTTTAAGATTATGCTTATATTACAAAAACAACATAGTCTAATCTAATATGTCCTAAACAACATTATTACCTATATCTTCTAAGCCATCATTAAAGCTATTAACAATTATTTCTGTCGATGTGGTGAAATATGGTTCCATCAATCTGAATTTAATATGCATATTGTGTAGCCCTGCACGTGCATTGACTATTAGGCCAGCAGTGTATTGCTCATATATTAACTTTTTTTTTATAGGATCGGGTGACAAACGAGTACATAGTCCACCTGATGGTAAGTGGTTACTGTGACCCATAGACATCTACATCTATCCTCAATAAAGACTCAAGATGCAGATGCGTTGTAACTCGTGAGGACTAAGATGGAATGCCTCTTTGCCAGTAAAAAGGGTCTCCGGTTCTCTACACTCACCATACGAAACACAGCAGCGTTTAGCTGCTATTTTACGCTGGTTTTCTGTGAGAGCGTGGTCCTTCCCTGGTCGAGCCGACCCATTCGTGCTACAACCATAATATAGCTGCAGCATGGCTCTACTACGTAGCGCCATGCTGATATGATTCAGCGTTGATAGTTTCATGAAATGGTTGTATTTCATGAAATGAAAAACATCCACTGACCACATCATCTCTGCTCGGATCAATGAATAATTAACGTTTGACGATATGAACAGCTAAACGCACATTAGTGATCATATCGTAATATAGTTACATTATCCACCGTTAGAGGCGCTGATTGTGATGCATCATGGTTGACAATTATTCAGACAAAAAACGCACAGCCGCACAAGGCGGGAACCCGTTCGGGAGGAGGAGAGTGGCTATTCTAAAAAGGTTAGATTACCTTTTTTATGGATACCTTTCGCTTCGCGAGCAAGGAAAAGGTTTTGCCGGACTCCTACCGCCTAAAACCCCGCGATGGCCTCCATCAATGTGTACGAGGGGCCCCGCGATCTCCGTTCGGATCGAAACCGAGGCCGCTCTCTCGCTTTGCTTTGTTGGAAGCACAGTCAGGATTTCGCAAATAACGCGTTTGCGGGTATAGCGCTCCTCTTTTCTTTGAGTCGAGTGCGCCATATCGCCAAAGCATTCTGTCACTCCTGCTATTTTATAGACTCGAACGCCTCATCTGGTTCACTACCACCTCTTTGACGGAGGATGCAGATTCCGTTGTACGTCCCCGCATCCATATCCGCCAGTATATCTAGGGGTGGAAAGCGAGCCAGGACTGTCGCCGCCTCAA